CTGCCTTCAGCACTCATGGGATCAGAAATCGCAAACTGGGCCTGGGTGAGGGTAGAATCGACAAGGAAAGACTGAGGCATCTCCTCACGTTGTGGCTAACAGTGCAGGGCTGGAGCTGGCTGCCTGTGTCTGGACACCAGCTTGTCCTGGATCAGCTGAGTGACCTCGGTCAGCTTCTGAACCTCTCTGAGCCTCAGTGTCCTCATCTGTAACCTGGCGGTTCTCACTCTCTAGAATGCTCTTCCCCATATTCTCAAGCTCAGTCCCTCACTTTTTCCAGGCTCTGCTCCCATGACAACTATGACCACCTCACATAGAGTAGCAATCCCCTCCTGGTGAGTCCTCCTCCCCCATACTCTGCTTCATTCTTCTCAATAGCACTTAACACCACCCAGCACAGAAGATAACATTCTCTTCCATCTATTGTGTTCCTCCCTGGGTGTAACGTAAACTCTAAGAGGGCTGGCTGGCGTTTGTCTCTGTTTTGTGTACTGCTGTTTCCTGACAGCTTATTACAGTGCCAGGGACATCGGAGGGACTCCATAGATCTTTGATGAATGGATATGTGAAGAATAAGGCTACCTCACAGAGCCAAGTTGAGGATGAAATGAATGAATATACATATGTATGTATCTAGCCCTAGAACACGTGCTTGGCTCATGTAAACTTCAAAATAGGAAACGCTGAGGATGAAATGAATGAATATACATATGTATGTATCTAGCCCTAGAACACGTGCTTGGCTCATGTAAACTTCAAAATAGGAAACGCTGCTGCTGCTGCCGTTAGATATTATTATTGAGGCTGAGCTGGCCTAGGGCTCATTTGCATGGATTTCTGAAGAGGTAGGTGAAAGAAACTCCTTACACTACACCTTCTTGAGTAAAGAAGACTGTCTTCTTCATTGTCTGCATACCTGGGGAGCAGACTTCCGCCCCCAAAACTGGGACGTGAGTGCTGACTAATACGAGCATATTTATGGCCTTGATAGGACAGATTATCTGATATCAGCACGGGCCCAGACATTTTAGGAGCGTGGCTGCTCCTCTGGACTGTAAATGTGTGTGTGTCGATAGAGGCTTTGCTTCCAGACTTGGACTCCCAGACTCTCAGGTAGGTGTCACTGCAGGTGCTGTGATGCAGGAGAGAAGTGTGAGGAGCAAGATGGGAGTCACAAGCCCCCGTAGAGAGGAGAAACCTAGCTGTTCACTTGGGTGCAAAAATGCCTCAGGACGCTGCTCTCGAGGCTTGAACCAAATCACCATTAGAATGTCGTTCATATGGGGGAAATACCAAGGTTTATATATTTGGGTACTGAAACTTTTAGGGGATTTTTTTCTTTTCATCAAATGAATCTTTCACTTAACTGCTAAAACCTGCAGGCTATATGGAACTTAAAAATATTTTAGAGAGAGAAAGAAGTATTTTAAAATCACATTGTGGTTCAGGGGCCAGCCCCTTGGCCCAGTGGTTAAATTCATGCTCTGCTTTGGCGGCCCAGGGTTCTCCAGTTCGGATCCTGGGTGTGGACCTACACACTGCTCATCAAGCCATGCCATGGCAGCGTCCCACATAGAAGAACTAGAATGACTTACAACTAGGATATGCGACTATGTGCTGGGGCTTTGGGGAAAAGGAAAAAAATCACATTGTTAATTTCTAAGAAAAAACTCAAAAACCCTTCCCTCCCAATCCCAGAAGAGTGGCTGGCTTGTCTCTAAGAAATGACATCAGTGAACAAGTTGCCTCTCCTCAAACCTCAGACAGGCTGTGAACTTTGGTTAGGGGCTGACATCCTGAGTGGGTGCAAGTGTATCTGGTGCAGTGCCCTGAAGCCCCCACCACTTAGTAGGACTGAGTCTGTCTAAGTAGGTGAGACCTAGTTAAACTTGAACGGGAGGCAGGAGACAAAGGAGAACATCTCAAAAGGAACAGCAGTGGGATGGGGATGGGGAGTCCAGCAGACTCTCCAGCTGTGCTTTGGTGCTGGAGGCAGGCAGTGGGGAGGAAACGAGTCTGTTTTAACTGCATATGAGGGGTCCCAGGCCCGTTATTCTTCAGTGCCAGTTAAATGTCTCCACCTGTCCTTGACGAATCGATTCTTCAACTGGGTTCCCAACAATCTGAGGTCTTGCAAAGCTCAGGGTTTGGTGTGACTGTCAAATTTTGTGGTTCTATCAGGAGGGCCTGCCTTTTGGACTACATTTATGTTGTATTTAAATCAGTTTAGTTAATTCAGTCAACAAATTTTTTTTGTGGAGTGTCCTTCATGTGCAGGCTGTGGGGAGCCAGCAAAGACTGAGAAGGACCCTGTCATGGGCTACCTGCTCACACCTCTCGTCTCATGTCATCACTCTCCTACCTCGGGAGTCATTGTCTGAACGTGGACCTGCCACACTCTGCTTGCAGAGCTCACTGCTGCTCAGTCTTCAGAACTCAGGGAGCCTTCCCTAACCCTTTGTTGGTTCCCTTAAGTAGGTCCTCTTAGTGACACCCTATGCTTCTATCCGGTGGCACTTATCACAGTTGCAATTGGATGTTTGTCTAATTATTTGTAAAAAGTCTGACTTCCCTAAAAGGAAGTAAGCAGTAAGAGGGCAGGGACTGTGTCTGTCTTGTTCTCGGGGGTCCCGCATAGTGGAGATGCCCAATGAATATTTCTGGAATGCCTTGATGACAGTACCATGCTGTTGTGAAACAGGAGCTGAATAAAGATCCAGAAAATCTGTGTTCTGGTCCCTCTGCTGCCATAAACTTGCTGAGTGACATTGAGCAATTGATACGCCTCTCAGAGCCTGTTTCCTTATCTGTGCAATGGAGTCAGCAACCCTACTACACACGAATGTGAAGGGGGCTAAAAGGGGACACAAGGGTATGTGAATACATAACTGGCAGAGAGTAGGCCTTCAGTAACATTTTCTTTCATTTTTCTTGGTGTGTTGTCACTTTACCTGTGAAATGGGGGTAATTTGACTAAACAATTTTTAGAGTTTCTTCCAGCTCAAAATTACTGTGATTTTTTTCTGAGCTGGTCTCTCCATTTCTCCACCCATTCTTCTCTCCACTGCTAGCTCCATTCCTGACTTCTTTCTTCTTCCTGTTCTCAAGCCCAGGAAACATTGCCTCTGAAACATCCCTAGGAAAGACAGAAGCCATCTGTACACAGCCAGGTGTGGCAGTGCACCTCATACCTCTTGTATTCCTCCACCACCCTATCCACTCTCATTCGTTCATTCATTTATTCATTTACAAGACATTTTGAATCTCCACTATCATGTGTGGACCCCTCAAATCCTGTTGCTTGTCATCTGCCTTCCCACGTGCTCTGGTCGAGTAGAAGAGAGAGTGCATGATCAGCAAAGCAGCAGAAGGATGTTGATGTATTTTTGAGGGCAGTCTCTCTTAATTAAGGGAGGTGGATTCTAAAAATCCTTGCAGATAGATAAATGGGGGATATTTGCTTCTTACTGAAATTGCTGAACACAATTGCCTACAATTGGTCTATTTAATGTTCCTGATTTTTCCTGTGCTCTTTCAATTACTCTGATTGCTACTAGGCAAAAACTTCAGTCAAATTTATCTTTAATGTCTTTCCCTTAAGAGCTGATCTTCTCTCTTAACATGAAAGTCAAGTCTGGAGCAAGATGTATTTAAACCCATTTGGCGGTATCAAGAAAATTCCATCTAGTGGTGGTAGTAAATGTTTAACAACCGGATTGATGTGGAGGAGGTGGGAGGCTCTGATTAGAAGCATTAGTCAGTTTTTTTGCTGTAAATACTGCCACCATAGTGGATTTCAAGCTATCAACCAGACTTCACTGAATGGAGTTGGGCAGAGATGCCAACAGTTGGCTCGTGAGAGATGATTTGAGCCAGCTCCAGCTCGCCACTGTATCCAGTCCCTGACTCCTTAATCTCCATCATACCCCTCACTTGCTTCGCCATCATTGTTTCTGATCTCAATTAATGGTACCTCAGTCAGTCAAGAAAGAGGCTTGACGGTCGCCATCAACTCTCCTCTCTCCCTCATCCCCCACACCCAGTCACTAAATCCTGTTGATTTCCCTCTCAAATGTCTCTTGCATCTGTCCACTTGTCCACCCCTACTGCCAACACCCTGGTCTAGTCTCCTGGTCCATCACTCTCATTGCTACATCCCTGGCCTCTATTCTGGTTTCTCTGCCTCCATGCTTGCCCACATACAGGGTCAGCCTGCTGAAACTTATGTCCTGCCAGTCTTTTGTTTAATACCTTCCTATAGTTTTCTCTTGCCATTAGGATAAGTTCCAAACCCTTAGCATATCTTACATGACACACCCCAGCCCCCGACTCACATACACTGGGATCTGGCCCCTGCCAGCCTCTCCAGCCTCATTCCTTACCTGTCACTCCCTTGCTCTCTTCATTCTAGCCCTTTGGAACTGCTTTTATTTCCTCAAATACTCCAGGCTCCTTGACTCAAGGCCTGCCTTCAGAGGTGCTGCTGCTTCTGTCTGTATGTCACCTCTCCTCCCCCTTCTTACTCACCCCTCAGCTGGCTGGCTCCTCTCATCCTTCAGTGATTTGCTGTCCCGTGTCAGTTTCAACATGACTTCCTGGAGAAGGCCCTTGACTTGGTGGCCCTCCTTGCCTGCTCACTGTCTTCTCCACAAAGTAGACTTCTTCAGGGCCTGGAGCAGTACCGTCCTGTCTTATTTGCTGCCGTATTCCAAGCATTGCCCACAGTACCTGGCACGTAGTGGGTGCTCCATAAGTGTTGAATCCCATTCTTGGGTTTATGTGGGTCCTAATTCCCCATTAAAGAGTAAACTCCACATGGTCAAGCATGTTGTACTTCCAGTACTTTCTGTCAGCAGTGTATTAGCTTAGCACAAAAAGTAGCTGGTGAATAATTTTTACTATGAAATTTAACTTTTTTTCCAAAGAGCATCTTGGAAGATGGTTTTCTATTTTCAATAAAGTCATCTTGTTTTTCCTAACCAATTTGTTTTCCCTCCTAGATGTCATCAGCTGTGAGCAGCTGTCATCAGCCCAATCAGTGTTTGGAGTTGTGAACAAGAGTGTAACTTTCCTTACAGCAAGCTCTACACCCATTAAAGACATTCTGTGGAAAAAAGGAAAGGATAAAGTTGTAGAAAAGGAAGAAAACCTTGATGAAAGCGTTTACCCACCTTTTAGAGAGAGAATTCTTTTAAACATTGTGACGGGTGACCTCACCATCTTCAATTTATCATCCTCAGATGAAGATGAGTATGAATTTGAATCCACAAGCATTAAAGATAGCATCAAATTCTCTCTCACAGTGTTTGGTGAGTATTCCATAAATTGGTTTGTTTAAAATGGTAAATGTCCTACTATTTTATTTTTATTTTTTTTTTAGGAAGATTAGCACTGAGCTGACATCTGCCACCAGTCCTCCTCTTTTTGCTGAGGAAGATTGGCCCTGAGCTAACAATTGTGCCCATCTTCCTCTACTTTATATGTGGGATGCCTGCCACAGTGTGGCTTGCCAAGCCGTGCATAGAGCCTTGCTGGGGCTCCAAACCGGCGAACTCCAGGCCGCCGAATTGGAGCACACAAACTTGACCACTGTGCTACCAGGCCAGCCCCATGTCCTAATATTTTAAAAGACTAATACAAATTACTGGTTTATGAGGAATAAAATAATTAGATATCACATGTTGTCAGGGCTTTCCTCTCTTTCTGGTAGCCAGAGCCACTTAGAGTTCCCTCGTCATTCTCTGGGTGAGGAGAAGATGTGACTAAGGTGGGGAGAATAGCATCAACTGGGCAGAGTTGCTGCCAGCAGCATCACTTGTCTCACTAGGAATGTTCTGGAAAGGGATATAGTGGCAGCAATAAACTCAGAACTCCACTGATAGATGGTATTCTCTGATTTAGAGTTCCTGCTTCCTCCTGCAGCCCACCCAGGAGGCGGATTTTATTTTCTCCTGTATCATTTTAAACTGGAACTAGAGATAGGATACAGGTTCCTCCGTGCTTCTCATTGATGCATCCAAGTTATTTTCCTGACCTCATCTCTAAAGCCCCTTTCTTGTTGTAGTCATCTCTAGGCCAGGGGTGCACCCCAGTGTTTTGTGATCATTTCAGTGCCTGGTTCATTTTCACTGTTTCTGATGTTCCTGCTGTGGTAATTCTTGATTGGGTAGATAAATGAAAGTTCTTTCTAATATCCTGACTTCTCAGTCCTTGAGCTCCCTTGCTGCAATGATCTTGGCCTCCACTCCACCTTACCTCTCCCCATGGACATGCCCTAGAACTTGTCATGACCAGTGATTCTAATCCCTACATTATCTCAGTGTCAGGTGTCCCACCTCCTCTATTTGAAGCTCACTTCCTCTGCCATATGACTCTGACAGTCCTTCACCCACCTGATGTCCTCCCTGCCCTCCGTATGCAGCCCAAGTGCCATGGTCACTCTCTGGGCTCACTCTGTTGCAGAACACTCAGCTTCCTGGCTCCTTCCTTGCTTGGTCATGTCATGTGGCCAGTGCAACCACGTTCAGTCCAGTGGTCTGCCTATGCTGTGCTCACACACTTGTAGCTGCGGAAAAACACATCACCCCACACAGCCCCACACTTTAAATTTCTGACCACATACCTCAACTAAATCCGATGTGTTCCTAGTGTCCTCACTCATGCAGTCTCCGGGCAGTTATCTTTCCTCCCCTCAAACCTCAGATACCTCCTTCTCCAGACCCACTACTCAGCTGAAGCCTTTACTTCTTGTTCCACTGAGGAAAAGGCACAATCAGGAGAGAATTTCTACAAGCTCTCCCCACTAGCCTGCCTGCCTACCTGTACCTGAGCCTGTGTACCACGTTCTGTCCAGTTCCCATTCGGAAGTTCCCATTCTGAACTTCTCAGTTCTTACCTGTGGCCACACCCTCCACTCGTGCCCTGGTTCCACCTGCTCCCACTGCACTCAGGGATATCACTAATTCCACCCACTCTCTCCTTACAGTAGTTTCCCCCACGAGCCGACAGCTCATTCCCGTCAGCGCACAAATATGTGGTTATTTTTACCGTCATTGAAAGCCCTCTCATGGCCCTTCTACTGCTCTAGCTACCGCCCACTGTCTTCAGTTTATAGAAAATCTCCTTGAAGAAATTGCCTATATTCGCTCTTTATAACCTCTTTTCTCCTGTTTACTTTCAACCCACTCTGAACAGGCTTTCATCCCCACTAATGCACCCAAATGCCTCTTGACCTCCTTGATAAATCCAGTGGTCCATTCTCCATCCACATCTTTCTCCACCACTCAGCAGCTTCTGACACTGGCTGATCATTCCTTCCTCTTTGAAACACTGCCTTCACTGGGCACCAGGACTCCACCCTGGTTTCCTGTGAATAGGTTTCCTGTGACTCACTCACTGTTCCTTCTCAGTTTCCTTTGCTGTTCCCTCATCTTCCCAACCTCTTAAACACAGGGGATCTCAAGACTTAAGTCTCAGGCCACTTCCCTTCTCTGCCTACATTCATACCCAGGTGGTGAGTTCATCCTGTGTGAGGGCTTAAATATCATCTTGATGCTGATAATGCACAGATTGAAAGCTCTGGCCCAGATGCTCACTGAGCTCCCTATGCGTGTGTCTGACTGCCTACTCAATATTTCCACTCGGCCATCTAACTCGCCTCTCAAGGATCACGTTTCCAAATGGGAGGTCATGATCTTTCCCTTCAACCTGTTCCTCCCCAAATCTTTGCCCTCTTGGTTAATGGCAGCTCCATCCTTTCAGTTGCTCAGGCTAAAACCTTGATGTCATCTTGTGACACTTCTCTTTCTCTTGAACACCATGTACACTCCACCAGGAAATTTCATTGGTTCTACCTTCAAAATATAGCGAGAATCTGACCACCTCTCACCACTGCTGGTGGTGATCCAGGGCTGCTTCATCCTTGTCTGGAGGATTGCAGTAGCATTTGAATTGGTGTCCCAGCTTCCACCCTTGCCCCCTACAGTTTATTTTTAAGAAACCTTAGTGATCTTCTTGAAACATAAGTCAGATCATGACACTAATCTGGTTAGAACTTTCTAGTGGCCCCATCTAACTTGGAGTTAAAGCTGAAATCTTTGCAGTGGCCTGCAAGGCTGTGTGAGATCTGGCCCACATGACCTCCCCTTGCTGTTCTTAGACGTCCTAGTACCGCCCTTGCCTCAGAGCTGCCTTTTCTGCACTCCCTACCAGCATTCACAGCTGGGTCTGTCCATGTCTCCCCTCTGCTGAGTCTTAGGTTCACTTGTTCTATCCCAGAAGTGGGTGGAGATCTAGGCCTACTTTATGACCAAGGCTGTTTTAGGAGGACTCCACTGGCAGCAAAGCATGTAAGATGTTTTCCAGGGGATGGAGAAGAGGCAGCAAGTCCAATCTAGCAGTTCAGGTCTGCGCTCCTCAAGTCCTGTTTGAGGTGGTCTCAGTGGAATGGGATGTGATGACTAGCTGGATGATAAGTGTTGGACAAAAGCCGTTACTTACCAGTTCACCTGCCTGGTCCACTAGAGACATTGGGAGGAAGAGAGAATTTCTTTCTTGTTCACCATGGTAGTCCCAGAGCTCAGCAAAGGACTTGAATAGGTAACAGGCACTCAATAAGTACTTGCTGCATCAATGAAAGCCATCCAACTGGGCGACTGGGAGGTGGGTGGTACAATTGACAGAAACAGGGGCTCTCAGACTGGGTGGCTGGTTTGTCTGGAAGATGTTGAGCTCCGGTTAGACAAGTGACGCTTGTTAAGGTGTCCAGCCATCCTATTAGAAGAGCCAATAGATCCCTTTGAAGCAGCAGAATCTTTAAAACCTGGTCATTGGGGATCTGGCAGTTGATAGGGCAAGCAAACAAAAAGGTTGATCCAGAATTTAAGATAGCAATGGGATACATTTTAAGAGCCCTTTTATAGAGTTTGTAAAACTGAGTTCCAAACATTTGAATATGGGGCCTGGCCCAGTTGCACAGTGGTTAAGTTTGCACTTTCTGCTTCAGTGGCCTGGGGTTCGCCGGTTCAGATCCCCAGTGTGGACCTATGCACTGCTTGTCAAGCCATCCTGTGACAAGCGTCCCACATATAAAGTAGAGGAAGATGGGCACAGATGTTAGCTCAGGGTCGGTCTCCCTCAGCAAAAAGAGGAGGATTGGTGGCAGATGTTAGCTCAGGTCTAATCTTTCTCAAAAACAAAAAAACATTTGAATAGGTTTCTCTTTTTATACTTGATGAAATGTTTAAAAAATAATTTAATTCATAAAATTCTATGGTGACTCAACAAAGGTACTTGATTTTGGTAGTCAGATCAACTGGTTAGCTCTCAGGAAGCTTCGTGGAGGCCTGCAGAGGAGCATAGTACAGGGAGGTGAGTTTCTATCTGGAGGTGGTGATACTGGCAGGTTTAAATGTGGGACTTCAAGTCCTGGTTTAGGAGTCTGGATTTTAGCCATGGCAGTGGAGAGCTGCTGTATCCAATGCTGGAGCAGGGAAGTGACTTGGTGAAATATGTTTTTGGAAGATTAATTAGATAGTATTTCTGATGGATGACAGGAGATGCCAGGTTAGAAGCTACTGTAATCCTCCACATAGCCAGACGTGTTGTTAGTAAATGTTGGGAAGGAAAGAATCAAAATATACTTGCAAGAAAGAGTCAACAAGATTTAGATTTTGGTTGTTAAAATAAGTAAGATGACTCAAGGTTTCACACCTGAATAACAAAAACAATTGGTCATACTTTTTTTTTCTAGAAATGAGGAAGTCATACTTCTTTGAGGGAATGTTAAGACTTGTCTAAGTGGTTTGGTAATCTTCCGGAGACACCAGACCTAACGGAAGACTTTCGGAAAGGTTATTTAGACAAGGGGATTTCCTGGCATCTCCTACATTTGGGGCATCCACTTCCTTCTGTGTGTTAAGTTGAGATATGGCTTTCCTCCCTTCCCCAAAGTCCCCTTAAAATTTCCGCCATTAATGTTTGTTAGTTCTTTCCAATCCCCATAGAATCTTTGTTGCTTTGAAGATGGTAAGCTTCATGTAAGTAGAATTAACTGCTCTATCCTTAAATATTCTGGACTGGTATGTGACTTTTTATTAAAGTTAATGGAAATATACAAATGTCATCAGACACGGATAAGAAATCTCATTTCTTTATAGAGTAGTGAGCTCAGTTCATTATTTATAAATTGACTAAGCTATCTTAGAGACGAGGTAGGCATGTTTCTTGCCAGTTAATGCTGCTTAAGGTACAGATGTAATTAATAATTGTTAGATATAGCCATACTAAGTCCCAGGGGCAGGGAGAGAAAATGGAAGATTCCAGATGGAAAGATGTGAGGCGTAGAGGCTCTGACTCAGGCGCTGCAGGAAGGCTTGCCTACTTTGAGACTCAGGTTTGCTGTCTGGCCACAGTGGTGTAAGAAGTCCTCCAGAAAGAGCTTCCATGTGGTTAGGGCCCTAACAATAGAGACGATGATACTTGCATTGCCATGTGTTTCCCCTCAAATTATTTTCATATTCCACCTGACCTTTGCAATGACCTTATAAAGCATTATTTTCCCTTTTACAGATAAAATTGAGACAGATTTAGTAATGTAGAACAAGAGGCCTGGGCTGGATGATTTCTTAAAAGTCTACTAGCTCCTATGAGAACTGTGGTCCAAGGTCACACAGCAAGCCAAGCCTAAAGCTCATACCTTCCAAGTCCTGGTCAGTGACTCGTGTCCTATCTCACACCCTCCTGGGAGCCTTGGCTTCCTAGCCTTGTGCTCTATTACAGCTAGCATTTGTTAAACACTTAAGCTATGCCAGGCACTGCATGTTAATTCATGTATTAATTATTATCTGTATCAACTCATTTCATCCTCATCACAGTTCTGTAGGGTAGGTACTCTTTGTCTCCTTATTGTACGGGAGAGGAAACCTGTGCACAGGGGGATTAAGTAACTCGTCCAAGGTGAAGTGGCTCCTAGTGATAGAGCTGGGATATGAACCCAGGCAGTCAGGCCCCTGAGTCCACATTCTTAACCACCGTAGCATTCCTTTTTGGAGGGGAGCTGATTAAAGAATTTATGTTTTATAGAGTGGAGAGAGTAACCTGAAGACTGTCTCCCTGAATTTATCCATCTATCCATCCTTTCCTCCACCTGTCCAACATCTGTCGTCATTGAGGGGCCGGCTGTGTGCCTTGTGTTATGTCAGATGCTGTGGTGAAGAGGTGACTGGTCCATCGTCTCTAACCTCCAGAGACACACAGTTGGAGGGGACTCGTGCTGCCCCTCTGTTCAGTTTAGAAGGTGTTTGATGGAGTAGTAGACATTGGCTGAACTAGGTCAATAAACTGAAGCCTGTAGCAGAACACTTGCAGCACCCACGTCAAAGTCACCTGGGGCGGTGGGACGAGGAATCTGTATTTTTAACACACACCCTAGGTGACTTTTATACACATTGATATTTGAGAAATGCTTCTACGGAACATTTCCAAGGAAGCAGAAAGTTCGATGTCCTGCCCCTGAGAAGGGTCCAGCCCAGTTGCACGCATTACCTAGAGCAGTTATTTCCATTTCTCAGCTGTTCTGGAGACACATGGGGCTCCTTGGAAGTGCCTGAGTGGCTGCTGTGGGGGTGCGGTGGGCAGGATGGGCCGAGGAAGCTGCGGGAAGAGGGCTCCGGGCTCTCCAATGTTAAGTCAACTGCAGCAACTTCGGGTCCTTTTGAAGGATATTGGTCTGCTGCTTAAGATTTCATTGGAGAGAGGCTTCCACTGCTTAAAAAAAAAGATTAAAAGTTCTTTTAACTAAAGAAAAACTTTAAGGCAGCATGTAATGACTTATGTGAGCTAGATTAAACCTAAAAACGGAGGAAGCCCCAAGTAGAAAGGGAAGTCACATGTGACTCAGGCCTCTAACAAGGCAGGCTGGGTGAGGCATTTAGCTGAGTGAGAAAGAATTCAGGAGGAGAAGATAGGGCGAAAGATAAATGCTTTCATTTTTTAGATTATTAATTGGAGTTAAAGCATTCCTTTGTCTTAGAGAAGATTGTTTTAAGTGACAGCATAGTATTCCATCATCTCAATGAACTGTTATTCACTTTTTAGCAGATGTTTATAACATACTGAAATTCTATTATCTGAATGCTGCCATGGCCATTTTTGTATATTCAATGTATTTTTACATGTTTTCTTAATTCTGTTATGATTAGTTGTTGGGGAAAAGTACAGATGCAAGAAGGCATATGAATTAACAGATAAACATGTGACTAATGGGACAAACTAGTTACATTGAGGTCTTAGAGGGCAAGAACGGTGTAAGGTGATGTGTGGGTGTCTTAACCCAGCCTTGCAAGTCCAGGCTGCCTTAGCCAGCAGGAGGCACTTCCTAGAGGAAAGCTGGGAGTGAGGCCTCTAGACTGGCAGGTCTGTGACACATGCCACACCCTGCTTTACCTACTAGCAGGGCCAGCCCACAGTACAGCTCCACAGTACCTTTTGCAAAACCCTTTGAGTCTGATGTTTTGAAGTTAAACATTTTTCGGATTTTAGAAAGGTAATATAAACTCTTTCTTCTGTGTGTGTTAAGAAGCACCCCACTTAGTTATGGGGAGTGCCCTATACTCAAGCACGTGACTGTTTTTAGTAAAACACAATAGTGAATATTTGGAGTGAGAAAAATAAAAACGAGAAATCCTCATGTCAGTTCAGATCCGGATTTGCAGCTAAATGACTTTGCTACCATCTCTTGTAAAATCTTTTGGCTTTTGGAATGAGGATAAGGGATTTGAGGCCTGTATGTGTTCTGAATTTGAGTAGGTAAATCTGACTCAGAGAGAGAATTCTCTCCTGTTGGTGCTCAAAGAGTTAGTCTGCTCGTCTTTTCAAACTCTTAAGGAAGTTGGGAGCTCTTCATAAATGTGCAGATGATGAGTCTAAATATTACTCTTTTCTGTACTAATTATTACTTTTTTTTTTCCAGAGCCTCTTCCATCTCCGACACTAAACTGTACATTGATTAATGAAACTGTTATAGTCCAATGCGGGATCCCTGAAGTTTACAGCAGCCATAGAGACCTTATAACGTACTCGTGGTATTGCCCTTTAGCAGGGTGTGAGGATGGCTTAGAATCATCAATATTGCATGTTAAAAAGGAAAATGATCTCTCACAGGAAATACAGTGCACTATTAGCAACGCATTACTGAATAGTACATCATCACTTGTTTTGAGAACCTGTGTCCCAGCTGGTGAGTAAATAAATGTGTTATGGCAGAGATGCTGCATACAAGTGGGTTCCACTGATCAGTGGTGGTTTGTGGGTTTCAAACCGCAGATATAGTGGCTAACATACATTTCACAAATTTGAAATGTAAAACGGTTACAATTTTCACACACTTCCATGATAGATACAAAACTAACATTTTTTTTATTGAGGTTGTGATAATTTATAACTTTGTAAAATTTCAGTTGTACATTATTATTTGTCAGTCACCATATAGGTGTGCCCCTTCAGCCTTTGTGCCCGCCCCCCAGCCCGCTTCCCCCTGGTAAACACTAAACAGTTCTCTTTGTCCGTGTGTTTGTAAAACTAACATTTTTTAGCACTTTCTGTGTCAAGCACCATTCTAACACGTGTTAATTAATTCAATCCTCACAACTCAATGAATTGGATACTAGTAATTTTCCTTATTTTATGGAGAGAAAACAAGACACAAGGAATTTAAGTTGTTCGCCCAAGGTCAACAGCTAGTAAGTGGCAGAGCCTGGTTTTGAAATCACGCCGTTTGGCCCCAGGGTCCGTGCTCTTAATTGTTCATCATACTGCCTCATAATACTCTTAATAACCATTGTGTTCTTAAAGGCTGTACGTGTGGTACACGAATGTGCATTCAAAACATTTGTCTGGGCTAGCACTCGATTAATAGCATGACAGTCCATCTCATCTGTGGTCTTCTTATATTGTTTGAGTATTATCATGTACATTTGTAATTTACAATTTTTATTATCTATTTTTACATTATACTCCCAATTTGCAAACAAAAGGATCAGTGATTTGAAAGTGGTTCACAAAAACATAAAAGAAGAGATAGAAATAGTAAATACTGTAATTCACAATAATATAATTGTAAATAGTGAACAGGATTCCAAGGCAAATGGAGAATATGAGTCTCTTTGGGCTGGGGTGACATGATTCTGTGAATAAACTTTTTTCTGAACAAGCAACTGAAACAGAAAAGGGCAATTAGTAAATATAATGAATATAAAAAACTTGAATTTTATTTGATTGGTGAACTGCTCTGCCTAGGTCTCCTGTATATTGTACTTTCTGAAACTTTTCACATGATGACATAAAGCCATTAAGGTTATTTTAAGACAAAGCAGAGTGACTTCTTGGGTAAAGAAAACAAATATTTCCAGAAAAAGTGCAGAATGAGTTCTGATTCATAACTGATGGATTTGGTCCCTAAAGACATAGAAAAGACCAAACCCATAGAGGTGTCACTCAAAGTGGCACCATTTGCACAAGTCACACAATTGCCAAAAACCAGCTGCAAAGTTAATGACAATTTTTATGCTTGGAGCAAACATTCCTTTATTAATTCCACTTATTGGGTGTTGTATAAACCCAAGGCATATAGTGTGCTAGTGGATAGTTGCTTTCCAGTGGGGATAGCCACAAACAAAACCAGTGTGCTTTTGGCTTTGGTGTGTGTGCAGCAAACACAACCGACAAGGAGAAAGAAGATGACCATGTACAGAAGGAACAAGCAGGGTGAAATCTTGAAAAGCTGCAGGTGTTCCAAGAGGCAAAATACTTGGCGATAATGTCTAAATAAGATCTTCTATAGAATTATATGAAATATTTTAAGAGATTTTCAAGCATTTTTGTCCTTGCACAGTTTTTGTTTAACCTTTTCCATTAGAATCGAATGCCCAAGGAAGATGCTCTTCTCTGTAGATACCGTGAGAAAAGAGCATCAAGATAACATCCCTCTTGTTGACATGAAATGAGTGTTATAAATTTGAAAACAACCTTTTTTTAAATTAAATAATTATGGTCCATCTTTCTTTGACGTTTTCCCCTAAATTGATAGTTCACATCACATTGTAGATTTTCAACATTGGAGAGACATTGCTCGATAGTTCCTTGGTTGTTTAAGTCCTGGAGTAGTGTTGATGTTTGAGACATACCTCTGGGGTCCCGTCCTTGGTCTCCACTAACCAAATGTTGGAAAACCTTTTTCTTTTCTGCAAATCTGGGGCCTGAACTTAATGACCTTAAGGGTTCTTTTCAACAATAGAAGTCTAAGGTGTCTTCTTTTCTGTGATGATTTTTGAATACTTTTCTTTGGAGTTGCATGTGTCATAAGGGATATAAATCCGTGAAGGTGTGACAGTTAAATACGCGATCTTACTTTTTCAAGCGTTGGTTTTTTATCCAGCCTTTCTAGTGCTTTTTCAGTGAAGCAACTCACGTTGACCAGCCTGCTTTTCTTTGGGAAACTCTTCTGAATAACTGTCTAGTTTGCTCCTCTCCACCACTGTTGTCGCCTGGCTGGACTAGGATTATTTACTTTTTAAGGGTGAGGAACAGATTCAACCAGCTAGAGTAATTTCCCCAAGGTCACTTAAGTAATGGAGATAGAATTAAAATTTAGGTCTTCTGAATTCCAGAGTTTTTTTCCTGTGACACCATCCTGACTCTTTACATGTCTCCAAATAAATCAAATTAAGAAAAAATTTTGACTGATTCACAGGAAGTGGCTGGTGAAAACCATACCACGTTAAGTGATAGTACAGACTGTGGGGAATTCTACAGAAGCAGGTTTCTTCAAGCAATAAATTATAAGGGGAAGAAAAAGAGGTGATGGGGGAACTTAGAGGTTAAAGAGATTTAAAGACATCTCAATTAATTGCAATATATGGACTTTATTTGATCCTGATTCAAACAGAAAAAAGTAAAAAATAGGAGAAATTTAAACAGTGACTGCCTATTTGATTATATTAAACAGTTTTTTAGGTATCATAATAGCGTGGTTATCTTTTACAAATAATCCTTGTCTTTTGGAAATATATACTGAAATATTTATGGCTTAAAACCTGGATTCTCTGGAGTCAAGCAGACAAGAGTCTACGTCTCTGCCTGCTTCATAGCCAGTGGGAAAGCAGAGGAGAAGGAGGATAGAGCACGGACCCTCCCTTTAAAGGGCACCCCAGCATAGCTTGCGCCCCTTCCATTCACACCCCCTTGGCCAGGCTGAGTTCACAGCAACACCCAGCTGAGGGAGACTGGGAAATGTCATCTTTGGCTGGCTGGCCACATGCCCATTTAAAACACAGGGGTTCTGTTGCTAAAGGATAAAGGAGAGATTGGATATTGGGGACAATAGTGTACCACTAAATGAATGTAACTTGTACCATTTTGAAACATATACAAAATTGAAAAAATTTAAAGAATGATATAAATAGTAAATATCATGGAGATTCTGGTGTTTTTTTTTTTTTTTTGCCCCAATTGATCATCTTATGTACTCCCTGGGGTATATGCTCTGAATTTGGAAACTCTTGGTCTAAGTGGGAGAGTATGGTGTCTTGGACCAGAGTGATAGCAGTGGAGGTTGGGAGAAGTGGTTCAGGTTAGGATACGTTTTGAAAATAGAACCAAGAGGATTTTCTAATGGTTTGGATGGGCAATCAGGATGTCTAATAAGAAGTATCCAAATGACTTCTAGATTTCTGCCCCAAGCACCTGGATGAATGGTGTTCCTATTTATGGAGACTGGCAAGCAGGGGGACAGCAGGTATGTGGAGGAAACACGAAGTTTGGTTTGGGACATGTTGAGATACCTGTTATATTTCAAATGGGGACATCAAGTAAGGCACTTTGATTTATGAGTCTAGGTCTCTAGTGAGTAGTTAGGGCTGGAGGTATAAATTTGGGCATAATCACAGCATAATAGGCATTTACAGCCATGGGACTAGATGAGATCACCTAGAGAGAGTAGATGTTGGAGAGAGGTGTCCTGGAACTGAGTTGTGGGGACTCCAGCATTTAGATGCTGTCAAGAGGAAGAGGATCCAGCAAAGGAGACTGAAAAAGACCACTAGGGAGATAGGAATAAAACTCCAGAATGTGGTTTCTCAGAAGCCAAGTGAAGAGGGAGTGAGCAACTGTCAACAAATGGGCAGGTCAAGAAGGAAGAACAGAATTAAGCACTTGAATTGTTGTTGTCAGGTCCCCTAAAAATCTGCTGTCCCAAAATAATGACAGCATCTGGCATCATCCCATGGGATAAAGGTTTTTGGAAGAGACTCTATCATGTAGCATTAGATTCAGCTGTTTAAAATTTTTTTAAAAGTATCAGTGGCTTAAAAATGTAGATTACTTCTTTTACATTAAAAAAAAAAAAATTGGAGGTGGGCGGCCCTGGGCACATTGCTGCTTTACGAAGCTGTCAGAGCCCAGGTGCCATCCGCTCCTGCGGCTCCCTGCTGGTTCAGGTGGCAGGGTCTACAAAGGGCAGAACAGTGCGCCTTACCCTTTCAGGGAGACTTCTGAGAAGTACCACATGACCCTTCCTGCCTCTCATTGCCCAACACTTTTCACATGGTCAAACCTGGCGGCAAGAAAGGCTGAGAAATTAAGCTTTTAGTGAGTGGCAGTATGCCCAGCTGAAAATATCAAGTCTCTTACTAAAGAGGGGAGAATGGATGTGGGGGGGGGCGGGGGCAACTAGCAGTTTCTGGTCAGGGGCCTTTCAAATCAAACCAAGAATTCCTGCCTATTTGTTCTAACCCACTTGTGTTCCTAATAAGAGGAAAGGGTATGTGTTCATATTCTCATTCATTTTCTTTCTCCCCTCCCCTCCTGTCCTCTTCCTGCGCTTTTATCTGTGTTGTACTTGCTGTTAGTGACCCCTCGACCCACCTTAGCAGTGCATTGTGGTCATTTCACCATATCCTTAAGTAATCTGCCTTTGGATTTTTAGTAACTGGATAGAGACCACCTCATGAACGTACTATACTTTTCTGTTGAGGACACTTGGGTTGTTTTAGTTTTTTGGGGGGTGAAGATTGGCCCTGAGCTAACATGTGTACCAATCTTTCTCTATTCTGTATATGGGACACCACCACAGCGTGTCTTGATGAGTGGTGTGTAGGTCCACACCCAGGATCTGAACCTGAGAACCCCAGGCCACCAAAGTAGAGCGCAGGAACTCAACCACCACGCCACAGGCCGGCACCTGTTTTACCTTTTTGATGTTGTAAATAAGGCTGCAGGAAATATCTTTGTGCAATTTTTAGAGGGAGGAGAGGGGCAGATCACCGATGGTTTCTGTAAGTTAACTTCTTAGAAATGGAATTGCAGGGTCAAAGGACTAGCAGAGTTACCAAGAGCATCCACTCTGTAGGTCAATGCTAGTAGCTAATAGCTGTTTTTTTAAGCGTATTGACTCAATTAATGCTCAACCTGCCCTATGAGTCAGTCATATTTCTCAGTCCCATTTACGGTTAACCCCAGGAGGAGACTGAAGCACAGGGTGTGAAGCACTCACCTGACGCTGTCGTAATGCTTCAGCGAGACTGCAGGCACCTCGCTTAGCAGTGTCTGGCTGCTGGGTGATGAGCATTGTTAAGGCTTGTTATGCTCCACTGCTGCATTGCCCTACCGAACACACGAGGCCAAGTTATGCTTCCACTGGCAGTGCCAAAAGCAAAACTTGTAGTGGAATATTTGCTTCTTTCAGGAAATAACACTGGGCCTGATATGTATCAACCCTGTGCATATAAGTTTATTTAGAAATACCATCTGTTCTCTTCATACACGGTAGTTGTGTTCTATAAAGTCACTGTAAACAAGGAATTAACGAATTCTGAACTATATAGCTCCCAGGGGAAATATAAGGTTAGGTTCCTGCCAGCCTCTGGTCACAACATTTTTGGCAAAATATCAATACATAACCTTGTTTTATGTGTGTTTCTATTTAAAGACACCTTATCTAGTGTATATATATGTACAAATATGTTGATTCATTAACATTGAATGCATGGTCAACAGCACTGTAACTCATGCCCAAATAAAGCTCATCTAACACAGGTGTTTTCTCCTCAAGGCACATTGCAGCCTTCTTGTGCTGAGGAACACTAGACGGCACTTCAGCACTATCCTTGGGGGCCATTTAAACAGTGAAATAGCCAACAAAAAGCACTGAAATGAGAAAACATGGCGCTAAATAGGACACTTGTTCATAGTATGAGAACCAAACAAGAGGGCAGAGCATTGCCTTGTCTGGCCTCAGCTGGGGACGTGGGCCTCGGGCAACTCAAATTTTTCACATTCTGCTGCGCATGTCCGCGAGACCTCGAAAGTGCTGGGAGTGTTGATTTGGGGACTACAAATAAATTTCAGCAAGTAGGTAAATTGCAAATACTGAGTCTACAAATAAGAAGGATTGACTGTATCTCTGTTTTGATCAATTCAGCTAATTCTATTTCTTGCCTTTTGTTACAGATCATTCAAGGCACAGATATGTGCTTCTTGCAGTACCACTGTTGGTAATAGTTCTAATAGTTGTTTTTCTAGGAGGTATGTATACTTTCTTTTAAAAAAAAGTTTTCAAACTCAAATTGATTTTTCAACAGCCAGAAAATGAATAGTTTGAAAATGAAAATAAAGTTTTAAATTTTAGACGTTTCCAAAGAAACAAAATTTTTTTTGTTTTACTTGTTGTCTGGGGCTGCTGAGTGTGCCAGATCCCCAAGATTCTGTATTGTCTTAAGGTAGAATGAATCCTCAGGCCATAGAGTGCTTTCTAGGTGTAGGAACACAGCCAAATATACCCGGGACTGTTCCACAGCCTTCGTTTATCTGTGATTTGCTTCAACATACAGTTATACTTCTGCTCTCTAAGCCAGATTTGCAGAAGACCCTTTGGTCTTGGCTGCTGTGGTCATAATTTCCATGTATTATAGCCCAGAAGGAGGTCCCAGGTAGGAAGGTGCTTTTGTGGAGTTGGGTCACGTGGAATGGGTAAAATTTACCTAGTATTACCTGGGTTGCCTTCCTGAGCCTTCCTCAGTTGCCTGAGATCTTGGGCCAAACTAGAAAGCAACCCATATGCCCTGAAGAACTGATGACTTGTACCCAGCCTGTTCTTTCCTGATGACAAGAAACCACTCCTCAAGTCCCAGAGGACATCGACCAGGCTGTAAACGTGAAGAGTAGATGTTCTTGAGGCCCCAACAGTTTCCATATCAGCCTGATATGAAAACTGAAAGGAAATTTGCGAGACTCATTTGTCACTCCCACAGGCAATGCTAAAGAGTAAGCTTTCTGCAGGGTGACAGCATCTAGGGTCCATGTCATTTCTCACTTGTGTCTTGAACCAAGTTTGCCAACTAGATTTGAGTTTTTGAAGACCTGCACTGTTCAGTACAGTAGGCCCTAGCCACATGTAGTGGTTTAAATATAAAACTTAATTAATTAAACTAAAATTTAAAATTCAGTTCCTTGTTTGCACTAGCCACATTTCAAGTGCTCACTAGCCACATAAAGCTCGTGGCTACCATAACTGGACGTCCCAGATATGAAGCAGTTCCATCATTGCAGAAAGTTCTGTTGGTCGGTGCTGACCTGGATTATTTTGGTTGTTGGCACTAGAATATGATTTCCCGAGGATACCGTTTCCATATTATAGGTTGCAAATTCCCTGAAGCTCCCTAAGTGATAGATTATGAGTCAATTGACTCTCCTCTAAGCAAGATATAAAAGTCAGCTGAAGAAAGCTTTGAGGCATCATTACCAATGAGTAAAATATTTTGGGAGCTCAAATGTTCATTTAAAAAAGTTATTTTTAATCCCCAAATAGCTGTATTATAGTTAATCATCTCTTTAAGAGATTGGTCCGCAGAAACCAAAATCATTTTCCACTCAGGGTTGTGGATCTATCACCAGAACACCTGAACCAGAGAAAGGCGGCACCGAGTGCCCATACAACTCCAAAACAACTGGTTGATTTAGCTGAGAAAAAGTTAGAAAATTACTAATGCAAAAGACAGAAAATTACTCCAGTGGTCAGTGCTGGTAGCACCGTAGAACCTGAAAAAAAAAAATGCTTGTTCTTCAGCAGGCATCTCAACCCTAAAGCCATTAATTGGGAAAGTGAGGCATTACGGAGCCTTCAGAAGGGGAGAGAGTTGAATGTGGCTCCAGTGGCTGGTTGTGGTTGACAAACACCTTTACAAGCTCACTTAAACCTATGGACTAGGCTGCTGGACCACTAGTGTGGCTCCAGCTTAGGGCTGATGCCTTTTATGGGAGGAAAGTCATGCGTACATGTGTAGGAGTGGGATCTTAACGTCCAAACCTGTGCTGTCCAAAATGGCAGCCATGAGCCACATCTGGCTGTTGAACCCTTGAAATGTGGGAGTCCAAAATGAGATGGACCATAAGTATAAAATACCCACTGGATTTATAAGTATTAAAAAAAGGCATGTAGCACCTTTAAAAAACAAAATTAACAAGGAATTTATAGCAAAACCTGGTTATTACAGTGCTATAAAAAAGGCATGTAAAATATCAATGTTTATATTGATTACATGTTAAAATGATAGTATTTTTGATATGTTGGGCTAATAAAATATATTATGAAAATTAATTTCACCTATTTCTTTGTACTTTGTAATGTGGCTACTGAAAATTTAAAATTGCTTATGTGGCTCACGTTATACTCTTATTAGACAGCGCTAGTCCAAACCATTTTAGCCCTCCCTTCCTCTTTAGCCTTATGCACAGGCTGCTGCAGAAATAACCATTTTCTTAACAGTTTTTGTTTTTCTATCTTCTGATGACCAATTTTTGAACAACTCATTGGACCAACTTGGTACCCAGTATGATTTAGGCATTTAGGAGAGTAGGAAACCCCAGCTTGACAGAGCTCCAGTTGAGAGTTTTCTAGATTCAGGTCTCTGATAGGCTGTCAGTAACTCCAGATTTCAGCCTCTCTTGAAAGTTCTTTAATTGAGATAAACATTTCTTCTTTTGTAGCTTTTCAGAGATGGAGAGCAGAATGATTCAGAACCACTTGAGTTCCCTGTAGACTGTGCAGTGGGTAAGTTGTAGATCGTGTACTAGAGCCGGGACAGCCCTGATGTAGAGGCCTGTTTCCTGGGGAGCCAGACACTACTTATCTGTCTGTTGCCTTGAACAGTAATAAGTAATGTCAGCAGATATACTAACCACGGTTCATTAAACACAGATCGTGTGCCAGGCGCCTGCTAGCTGCTTTCCATATATCATCTCCTTGAACCTCTTGATGATACCTTGCATGAGGGTCTCATTACCACTTGCTTAGAGACAGCAGACGTGAGACTCAGAGACGTCGAGTCCCAGTGGTAGAGCTGGGATTCACGTCTAGGTCTTCAGACTCCAAGGGTTATACTGTTTGTTAACCACCACAATGTACTCCCTCCTTCTCCCATCCCAGGAAAACTGGACCAAGGACTGGGTTCTCTTCAGGAGCCAGGGTCAGAGCTGGGCCTGTAGCATGAACAAAAGATAGGACGCAAACACAGTCAACAGCAGCAAAGGCAATTAAGTAAATTGCCATAAGGAGGCTCCGGAAGACCCCCTCCTGGCAAATCCCCCTGGTGGTCAGGAGGCAGGGGCCTGGGAGCTGGGCTTTGAGGGATGAAGGGAAGAGTAAAGGCCCAGGGTGGTAAAGGGCAGGATAGAGAAGTGAGTCATCCTCTTTGGGGCAGCAAATGTTGGTGGAAGAGAGGGCGATGGGGCTGGAGGGGCAGGTTGGGCCAGGCAAAGATACTGAAACAGAGTTGCCAAGAGGTTTGGGTGGCTTTTTTTGGGAAACTACTGAGGATTTTTGAGCAGAGCTATGCTTTAGAAAGGTCACTCTGCTGGCAAAACATAGGGTGAATTAATAGACAAGAGGCTGGAGCTGGGGACGCTGGTTAGTGAATAAAGGAAATAATCCAGCCAAGCAGAGGAGAGGGCCCGAATCGGGGTGGCTGTGGCAGAAGTGAATATGGAGGGCTGGGTTTGGGAGAGAGTGTGGAGATCATATTAACAAAGGTTTCGGCAGAGAGTGCGGGGTCTGGTGCCAGACTCCTCAGGGTTAAATGCCAGTTCCATCCCTCACAGGTGTCGGACAAGTCACTTAAACTGTCTGTGCCTCAGCTGTCTTGTGGAAAATGGGTATAACAATAGTATAGAAATAATAATGATAGTGTCGGTAATAATAGCATAGAAATAACATGTACAGACAAGTTAATATAAGTAAAATGCTAAGAATAATGGCTGGCTCATAATAGTGCTCAACAAATCTTAGCTATTATGATTATGATTGTGATTATTCAGGAAAGAAGCCAAAAGTGACAGGAATTCTGACCGTTGGTGCCCAGGAGATGATAACTCTGGCAGGCAGAGCAGAGGAGTCAGACAGGCTCTTGTTTGGGAAGATGAATTTGTGCTTTGGCGGGCTGAGTGTGGGCTGCAGGCACATGACTCGGGTAGGCATGTCCAGCACATAACTGAAGCAGTGGCTTTAGGGGATGGGGCTGGAGTTACACATTGGGGAGTATCTTCATCAGGACAGTAACTGGTGCCCTGAGCGTCTGAGGTCACCTAGAAAGAGAAGCCAGGGGCCCGCGGGTGGTGGGAAGAAGGGTAGGAGCCAGGATGGGAGAAGTCCAGGAGGAGAGCCAGCGTGGCGCCCTGTTAGAGCTCCCAAGGGAGGAGGCTGCGGGTTAAAGCTGCAGAGAGGCAAAGGAGGAGGAAGGCTGTCGAGACCTCTGGCTTTGTTAAGCGAGTTGCTGGTTTTCAACAAAGCTATTGGGTGAGAGGTTGGAGTGGGGATGAAGAAAGGATTGCTGTGCAGAAGCAAGGGCCTGGGGGAAGTGGGACCAAGGGGTGGGCTATGAGGTTTCCTTTCTCCCCAGCTACCGGACAGAACAGTGCCCAAGTTACCTGGGAAGTCAGCTGTGGCAGAAGGTGTAAGGCAAGGGATCCCAAGGGATAGCTCAGCTAACCATGCATAGGGAACAGGCTGGGCTGGAGTGGGGAGGCTGTGAGGGGTTGGTGGGCCAGGAGGCCACGTGGAGAGGGTGGAGTGTAGTTGAGCAGCCTTCGATGAGGTGAGGCTCAGGTGTGCTAGCAGTGAAGTGGGGAGGGGTAGGAGACTGGGGCACATGGTCAGAGGTGAGGTGTTTCAGATTTGAAGCCATATGTTTGAGTGCCAGGTAAGAGCGAGATCCAAGGTGGGCCTCTGCTGAGATCCAGATGTTTACAGTGGAGGTGCGGCCATCACCAACAGTGATAGGGAACATGTTCAGGGAGGGCTGTCATCTAGGGCCACTGAGAAAGCTGATGGAGTATCCCAGGACTCATTCCTTACCTGTTCCTTTATTCATTCAACAAACATTTATGGAGATTACTCAATGTCAGGCAGTGTGTTAGCTGATGGCTTGAGATCAACGTACCCAGTGAGGCTAGACATTGTGTGGGATTCAGAGAAAGCGTATATTAGGGTCCTACCCTTAAGAAGCTTATGGTCACACTGGGGAGAGTGGACGAGTGTGCAAGAAAAAGAAGGACTTAGGCAAGAAGCATGTGGTGACGGGCCAGAATTTGTGATGTGGATGGTCAGGGCTGGACCACCAGCAAGTGGGAGGTGAGAGGCCAGAGTAATCAGGAAGACTTTGAAGGGAGCACCACGTGAGCTAGATCTTCAAAGAGTGGAGTGGAAAAGGCACCGCAGCTGGAGAAGCAGCAGAGGTGAGGACATGGAGGGGAACTAAACCTACTGGAGTCATTTGATAAAGAGATTGGCCTGCTTAGCATCAAGTTGAAGAACTGAGAAAAGACACTGAATATTTGCAAGGAATCTTTGGAAGTAGGGGCATTAAAATATGGTGATATGGGAATAGGGAGACCTTGTAGGTTCTTGAGTAGGAGAGTTTTGCATGAAAAACACTGCTTGGGAATGATGAGTCTAGAAAGGTGAAACTGACAGCTTCGGGTCACATCCTGGGGAACAATCTGGGGAGCTTGGGGCTAGGTGTGGGAGAGGAGCCTACTTTTCTCAGTATATTTTTGTTTACTATTCATATTTAGTGTTTTGTGTGTTTCCTACCTATTTAATAATAATTTTTAAATTTAAAGAGCCCAATGTGGCTGCATTCCCTGAACTCAGTTATTAAAGGGTTGTCATATATGGTGGCAGGTAGGCGTTGGGGAGGGAACAAGTACAACCAGGAGCAAATGCAAAATTGTCACATCTCCATGAGGACAGTATCAGGAAGAGTTAGACCCAGGTGCAAATATCCGAGGACAGCCAAGTGGATTTCAGCTGTCTGAGGGAAGATGGACACAATATTCCCCTTCTCACCAGACAGTTCCATTTAGGCAATTTCTGGGAGTGCTGGTCATCTTCATTTTTGGTAAATGTCTGGAAAACAGATCACGAAGTCAGCCAAACTAAAAAGGGAGCAGGGTCCCCCATTTCTCTGGGAAGAATTCTTTACAGATGGCATCTGGGCATGAAGGTGATGAAGGGGCAGCCCGAGTCCTTGGTGTGCCTGGGGTGTGTGGGTGAGGAGGCCCCTGGGGAGAGGGCGGCCCAGTGGAGGGGCCGGATCCCGCCAGACACTGCTCTCAGGAGGAGTCCCGGGCCTGCGGGTCTGGTTTGAGAAACACCGCCCACTTTGTCCCCCTCCAAAATTCACAGCACCCATCTTCGTGTTCTGTGAGGTCCTTTATAAGGCAAAGTCCTAATTCGGTTTCCTTTGCCTCACCCCTGTGGGCACAGCACTAATTTTTTTAATGAATTCTTGTTCCCAATGGAGTGCAGATATTTTGGGCCCTCGGGTCTGGTCCAGTCCAGTCCAGTCCAGTTTGGCCTGGTCTATGGAAAAACAGATGGTGGGGAAGGCCATAGGCCAAGAAACAGAATCTCTGAAGGGGCTTCTCAGGCAAGGCTGCAGCCTTGTGTTTGGGCTGACTCCCACTGAGATGACCCGAGGTGATTTTGTCGTCACCGCAGAGGTGACCCGAAAGGAAGAGAAGTTGAAGTGGGAAGTCAGCCATCCCCACGTGGTTCAGGTGGCAAAGAAGGAAGTGGCTGCTAGAGGGGTGACAGTTTACATATGTGGATTATGGTCTCAGCTCTGTTATTTGGAAATTTCAGTTCCACATAGTGGAAGAGAAGACGGGACTGTTAATGAGTGCTGTGCCCTGAAGGTGGGACACCAGCTACCATCCCGTGAGGGCTCAAGACAAATCCTCCTCCATCTCTTCTCCCTAGCACCCTTGGTTTTGATGGCTTTATTACAAAAGGGCTACTCACATTAGAACAGGAGGGTAGTTAAGACTTGGTCTGTAGCACACATTGACTGCATTTTATAAGGTACTAATATGAGACTTTTTTTTTATAGGTCCAGTTTGTTGATAATAGAAGATGAAATCCAATGTGTAGTAACTAAGTTATTTAAATATCTTTGAAAAACTGTTGGATTTACCACTCGTGTTTTACATGATCTTTGAAGAAACTTTGGAAGTGTAACTTGAAGTGTTCATCAGAGGCCAATTTTTTTTTTGCAAGAAATATCAACCAACACAGACAAGCATTAGCTTCTGCTCTGTTACCAACACTTTATGTGACTAGGTGCTCACTTGGCTATCGATTGTTTCTTGTAAATTGTGGGTTGGCGAGATGAAGCGTTTGTACATAAATGTAAATACGTACATAAGTGACTGGGTGGTTTGGCTCTTTCTTCCTGTTAAGTTAGAAAAGTAAGAGTCACATACCTCAGGAAGTGAAGGCTTTTCACTGAAATCTGTACTCCACTTCTGTTTTGTTTTAGAGGAAAAATAATTCATTGCAGGATGGGTAGTGGAGCGAGGGAGAAGGCGGACAAAGGTGCTGTTGCTTCTTGAGTCCGTGGCTCTTGACAGGAAGGAAGAACATACGGGTCTTCTGTAGGTTTTGAAAAGACTGAATCCCCAGCATCCAGATGCAGGTGTATAACCTGGGTGGGCCAGGAGACTTATCCCATCAAGATGTCTTAACCCACTTAGTATATTGTATTAGTTGTCACACTGGCAGGTGAGCAGCCGAGAACTCTTCACAAACTGTAAAGTCGTGTACCAATGCAGAAGAGCGCCTCTTCTGAATCAGGAAGTGGATAGCCCCACTGTCCCCTGGGCAGCCATCAATCACAGTCAACACATAGAGGGCTTAGCTCCTGAGCCTGCACTCCTCCTGGAATTTCTGTCCCATGAGAGTCTTCAGCCTGAAAGAGGAAATAATGCTTTTTCACTCCAAGGCAGGTGTGTGAGCAGGTCCCCGTGAGACAGCTCCATCCGAGCTCTCCAGAGCCGTCAGCGAGAGTGAGGCAGGGGCCTGGGAGCCCTGAGGACTCCTGGGAAGATCCCTACTTCTCCCGAGTCCCCCTGCCTGCAGGTGGCATAGCTTCCTATCAAAGTGTGTCTCTGACGAATCTTTCAAACCTTTTATTCCGGGCCCTATAGGGAGCCTGGGACTCCTGGAACATCCTTCATCTTCCAGACTCTCGTCTCCATATACTCTGTATGGCCCTTTCCAGCCCCATCCATCCACAACAAGATTCCTAGTGTCCTCTTCTATGAATGCTCCCTTCCCTTTTCTGTGCTCACTGAATCCTGGCTCTCCCCGAGGATGCTGCTTCCCGCAGCCTTCTCGAGGGAGAGCTGCTGCCTCTCCTGTGCCCCCTGCTGGGCCTCAGGGAGGGAGTGTGTCCTCCTTGCTCCTCTCTGCTTCCAGACCGTTGCTCCTTCCTCAGCTTTGTTGCTTATGCCAGCAGATCACCACCCCCTGACATCCCTTTTTCAGTTATGTTTGTTCCTCATTCCATGAAGATTTTAGCACTAGGTTGAAATCTGTCTCTCTTAACACTTCTCCTTTCAGAATCTGAGTATTTTCAAAACCTGCAAACCCAATACCCTGCCGTGGTCTCCCCCAGCAGCCACTGCCCTGTTCCTGCCCCTTCCGTTTCCAATACCCACAGCCCCCATAGGCTCAGTTATAGGCATCCCCTCTCCCCTCCCTGTCTTCCCCATCATTCCCTGGAGGGCCCCAACTCCAAAAATCCTGCAGCCCTACCAGGACCTGCAAGCCAGTGATCCCACCATCTTTTCCCTGGCCCTCAACCCTTGGCATTCTCCTTCTCCTTCCTGCCTGCTTCGGATCCCCATTGTTCATCAGGATAATTATGCCTTCACCTGCACTCTTTTACCCCCTCACCTGTCATTTTCATTTGGCCAAATCCCAACCATGGTTACAGTCACCTCTACCTGTTCCCTCCCTGCACCCGAACTGCTGGACATCCCTGGAGAAAAATGCACCACTGGTGATTGGTTTCACTTCAATGACCACAAACCTCAGATGGAGTCGGTGTTTTTCAGAGCTCTTCGTCGCATTGCCCTGGTCCGTTCACTGTCTCCTCACCTCTCTTCTTGGATCTGCAACCCTGTGTCCTCACTCCCAACTGCTCACCTTACTTCCCATGTCACTGAAAGCAAGAACAGCAGAGGAGACCCCCTCGGGCTCCCCCCGAACACCTGTACACCCAGCTGTGTTGGCACTCATGGACTTTGCCTCCTGTCCTGTTACAGTGGGTGATCTCTCCTTGCTCCTTAAACCAGTTTCTCCACTTGTCTTAGTCTGCTCGGGCTGCTGTAACAAAATACCAAAGACTGGGTGGCTTAAAAAGTAGAAATTTATTTCTCACAGTTCTAGAGGCTAGAAGTCCGTGATCAAGGTGTCGGCTGATTCAGTTCCTGGTGAGGGCCCTCTTCCTTGCTTGCAGACATTGGCCTTCTCGCCATGTCCTCACATGGCAGGGAGAAGAGCTCGGTGTCTGTTCTACTTCCCATGAGGGCACCAGCCCTATTGGATTAGGGCCCCATCCTTATGACCTCGTTAACCTTTGTCACCTCCTCACAGGCCCTGTCTCCAAATACAGTCACATTGGGGTTAGAGCTTCAACGTATGAACTGTAGGGAACAAAACATTCCATTGATAACACTGCTTATGCACAGGATCTCACCTCCTCTCACCTTCTTGTCTGTCCACCTCTCCCCCATCATCAGCTTTTACCTTTCTACTGTGTCGTATGAACATATTGTCATTTCTCATCTTCAGAAAACCAAAACCTTCTTGATTCCACTTCCCTGTCCAGCTCCTGTCCCATTTCTCTGCTATCTTCTATGGAAAAGTTCCTTGAAAGAATGATCTGTACTTCCTTTTTCTGATTCTTCCCCCCTTCTTTTTTTTGTTTAGTTTTTTTTCTTGTGATGAGAACTTTTAGGATCTGCTCTCTTAGCGCCTTTCAGAAATGTAATACAGTATTGTATCTATAATGACCGTGCTGTACCTTACATCCTTGTGACTTATTAATCTTGTAACTGGAAGTTTGTCCCTTTTGACCACTTTCGCTCATTTTATTTTATTATTTATTCCTTATTGTGTTTTATTGTGTAGGTTTCAGGTGCATGGCTTTATAGTGTGACATCTGCATACACTACAGTCCGCTCGCCACTGCAGTCCAGTTACCGTCATCACCATACAGTTGACCCCTTCACCCATTTCGCTCACTCCCCACCCCCTTCCCCTCTGGTGACCACTACTCTGTCCTCTGTATCTATGAGTTTGTTTTTGTTTTATTTTGTTTTTTCATTTGTTTTGGTTTTTTTAGTCTTCTGTATATGAGTGAAATCATACGGTATTTGACTTTCTCCAGCTATCTTATTGTCCTTAGCATAATACCCTCAAGGTCCATCCCTGTTTTCAAAAATGGGAAGATTTCATCTTTCTTTTATGGCTGAGTAGTATTCCATTGTCTATATATACCACAGCTGCTTTATCCATCCATCCATCAGTAGACATTTAGGTTGTTTCCATATCTTGGCTATTATAAATAATGCTGCAGTGAACATGGGGGTGCTTCCATTCTTTACGGAATTCACTTCAGTCAGGCTTTCACCCCCACTACTTGTCAAGGTTAGCATGACTCCCTCATTATAATATCCGATGGTTAGTACTCAGGCCTTGTCTTACTCTGTTTATAAGCAGCACTTAATGCAGTGGAGGGCCTCACACATAATTATTTAATGGTTTGTGGGTGCTACGTGCCACAGGGTAAGTGAGATGAAGAAAGCTCAGTATGACAGGGCAAGAAGCCCTGTGAGCACTTGTGATGAATGTGCTAAGTCCTAAAATAGAAGTATATGCAAAGAACTAAGGAATTATGCTCATATGACCCAGCGATTCCACTCCTAGGTATATACCCAAGAGAAATAAAAACATATGTCCACACAAAAACTTGTACATGAATGTTCATAGCAACATTATTCCTAATAGCCAAATAGTGGAAACCATCCAAGTGCCTACCAACTGATGAACAGGTAAATAAACTGTGGTATATCCATACAATGGAATAGTATTAAGCTATAAAAAGTAATGAAGGTCTGATACATGCTACAATATGGATGAACATTTAAAATGCTAAGCAAAAGAAGCCGTGCAAAAGAGACCTCATGTTATGTAACTGCATTTATACAAAATGTCCAGAATGGGCAAATCTATAGAGACAAAAGGTAGATAGGTAGTTGTGTAGGGCCGGGAGGAGGATGTTGGGGGTAGAGGGTAAGGGTGTGACTCTAATGAGTCCAAGGTTTCTTTTGGGGATGATGAAAATGTTCTAAAAGTGTTGTAACTGTACAACTCTGTGAATGACTAAAACCTTTGAATTGCACACTTTGAATGGCTGGATTGTATAGTATGTGAATTATGTCCTAATAAAACTGTTATTATTAAAAAAAAAAAAAAGAACTGAGGAATTAGAGGAGGGGCCAGGCCTTTTCCATCTGGGAAAGTTGGAGCCCCCGTCCTGAAGCAGGCCCTCCCCGTCAGCTTCTTCAGCCAGGCTGAGCTCTGTGGTGGCTGAAAGGCTATGCAGGTGACCACCCTCCCCTCAGGACCCCACTACAATTCTCCCCTCTGCCGGTGACTGAAAGTGACGAGGGCACAGAGGAGTGTTCTATTTGGAGTCTGAGCAGAGAACAACAATGTCTGTAGCCTTAGACACCAGCCAGTGAGTCTATGAAAGCCTCTTAAACCAGAGTTCAACTCAGAATTTTGACACAGATTGTCCCGCTGTTTCTCCTCCCTGCCAGACTTAGCCATGCTCTGCCCAGTGTGCAAGTCCCCTGGCCATCTGTCTTCTGTGCTCCCATTCCTGTACTGCGCCGTGCTTCCTGTCCTGCTCCTCCTTCTGGGGATGTCCTCTTCCAAAGCCAATGGGACCTCCTTTGCACAGTCAGCAATCTACCCTCCACCCTCAACCCTCAGCCTCATCTCTGTGTTTTAGTACCTATCTCTCTGCATCCCCTGGTGCTTGTCAAGGATTCTGTCTCCACTAGCAGCCCTCTCCAAGGGTCAGGCAGGCACTATTGCACTATTGCTCTCCTTGTTTCATAAATGAGGAAACAGGCACTTGTCCAAAGTCAGTCAGTCATAAGTGGCAGAACCAGGATTCAAACCCCCAGGCAGTGTGGGCCCAGAGGCCTCCTGAGCACCAAGCTTTACTATGGGAAGACAGATGCATGCAGTCAATCTTCCACGTAGAGGTGGGAGCCCTTTGAAACTCTTCTCCAAGTTTTGTTTTCTGTTTGCTCCAAGAAAGCATTTATTCTTAGTTGAGGCATTCTCTAGA